GCCAAAGAACAGATTGGCAACAAGAAGCGGCTGATATCGCTGGGACAGGAGAGCCGTATGATCCGACAAACGGTGATGGTGTCAATCAGGACGGTGAGAACGAGCAGCCATGGACCCCGTCCGGCCTGCTCGAGCTGGGTCAAAATGACCAAGATGGACAGGTAACTTCGGTATCATGTGACTATGTAGCCACATACGCTAATCAATTGAGAGGGTCATAACTTACTTGGAGTCTCTAGCAGGAGCCTTCGCTGGTCGAGGAGCCAGAGGGTTCGGGTAGCAGGAAGGCCAGATCTAAGCGAGGCATGTCAAAGCTTCCTGTTGGTAGGAATGCACATTGGCACATCACTGAGTTCGATGAATTCGGGGATCCACTCTCACCGCCTATAGCTTTGACAAAAAACAAGACTATCCTCGGGTTACTTGTAAGGGACTTCATCCCGATTAGGTACAGGAAGTGGATTGGGAAAGATAATGACCCGTGGAGGGTTCCCGAAAGTGAGAAAGATTACATATGGGATATCAAGATCCTAGAGTATTTCACTTTCCCAATGGAGTATGGCAAGGAGGTAGTCAAGAAAAAAGCAAAAGAAATCATAGGGACATGCTTCAAGAATTTCAATGGGACATTGTACAAGCATTTTGTCCTCCAAAATAAAGAGCCAGATTTTGATGGTGGACAGTTTAGCAAGCAGAAGGACTTCTGGTAGGATTTGAAGGAATACAGGTTATCTGAGGAGTACTTAGAACTGAGCAGGAAGAATAAGGAGAACTCGTAGAAAGGGACGAATCCTCATCATCTCGGCTCTCGTGGCTACGCCAAAAAGATGCCAGAATTTGAAGCAGAACTTGAAAAGATGGATCGCCTTGCTGAGGAAGACGTTTAGGTTGAGACATCAATGTCATTCCCAGGTTGTCTTGGCTCTTGGATCAGTAGTGGCATCTGGATGTACGACCGCTTCATACAGACCCAAGGTGGAAGGTTGTATATACAGAGTGTCACTGGCCATGTGCTATGATTGCTTCTAACCTGGTCGAAAGGATTCATCTCATCTGTGCTCAAAGCAAACCAAAGGTGCCTTACCTCTCCACCGATGTCCTTATAGAACATAGTCTTGATAGTCCTCCAGTCATGGCCATCGGCGGGATGTCTCATCATTGTATCTTTCTTACGCTCTTCGCCATGCTAGCGCAACAGCTTGGCTGACTTTACACATGCAAACAGCCTATGCACCCGAGGAGCTATAGGGAAATACCAAATGACCTTTACGGGACCTCCTCTAGTCTTAGTACCCTCATCTGATGGCCCTTCCTTATACCATGGAGCTTCACACTTGGGGCACTTGTCTAAGTCTTTGTATTTTTCTCCATGGTACAATATGCAATCATTGGAATACGTGTGGATTTTTTCAACCTCGAGGTCAATGGGACAGATCATTTGCTTGTTTTTCTGGCAACTCATTTTTTTGGGAGCATTTTTCTTATTATACCTAACAACTGATCGAAGTCTTTATCGCACAATCCGTTTGTCGATTTGAACTCTAACAGCATGATGTCGGCTTCTAGTTTGCTCATTGGATAATTCGTATACAATAGTGTTTTGCCATCTTGTCTCATTTTCTCTAGCTTTCTCAGCTGTCTTTCACTAATACATCCGGCCTCTACGTTACGTAGCAGCTGAGAAATGCCATCGTTATTATCCTCGGTGTCGTCAGCTAGCGTGTTCCTAAACACATTATTAATTGTGGCCGTAGGTTCCGTGTTGACACCGGGGTCCTCGTCAGCATCGTGGATGGCTACGTCAGGCATGTCCACATCATCATCATTTTCCTGCGGAACATTCACACCAACCTCGCCATGCATAGTCCATATCGTATAGTTTGGCATGAACCCCCTGGTAATCAAGTGCGATCGTATAGACTCAATTTGACGAAAGTTCCTTTGATTCTTGCAATTTTTGCATCGGCAGAAGACAGGGTTTCCATTCCCAGCATGGGCTTTGGCATCGGTGATAAACTGGCTAACGCCATGCATGTACCGCTTGTCCGTTCGGGACAGATGCATCCACTCTCGATCCATCTTTAAACAAAAAAATATTGAGACAGTAATTACAAAGAATTAATAAGAAATCGAGCTTCATGAACAACAATTGTAGCTCGAATGTACCATTTTTGGAAAACATTATTGTACACTAATTATTAGAAAATTAAAATTGGTAGCTCCGGCCCTGTAAATTGAAAATCGTAATAAAAATAATTATTGCACAATAATGAAGAACAACTATTCTACTCCATGCCACATAAAAATGGAGACACTTATTTTAAAAAAGATTAAAATTGGAGACATGATCATGAACAACAATGTAGCTCCAAACAATGCCCATATAAATTAAAAACGCAGCCCCATAAAAAATTATTGCACAATAATAAAGAACAACTATTCTACTCCATGCTACATAAAAATGGAGACACTAATTTTAAAACTAAGTCTAAAATTAGAGACGTGATCATGAATAACAATGTAGCTCCAAACAATATGTTGTTATGTGACACATAGATTAATTTTCTCAATAAATTGTAAAAGAATCTACTCTACTTCTAAGAACTAGTTATAGCATCACATACTAACAATGATGATCTTGACCACCATGGAATAATTAGCTAGGAATTTAAATATGTTCATAGACACCAACCTTTTGGATGATGGATTCACCACAATTTGAGTCTTGCACAAATGTCCAATTGGAAAAGTGCTCTCTAGAATGGAGAAAGAACTAGAATGAGAATCAAGCAATGTAACCATCAAAACGAAGCTAATTAAGCAACAAAATCAAAGCAGTGGATGTTTGTTACTAACCTTAAAGCAAAAGGATCAAGCCATTCTTCAAAATCCAAACGCTAGCTTCATGGTGAAGAGCAGCTGCAACAATAAAGGGAAGGGCCCAAACGCACGCCTCTGTTCTCGGGATGGAAGAGGGGAGGAAGGAGAGGACGGCTGCAGCCTTTTTGTGTTGTAGGCTTATCACCGTCGGTTCATGGATAGAACCGACAGTGATAGAGCCCAATCACTATCGGCTCTTGGCTTGAATCGGCAGTGATATGTGGCCATCAAGCCACTGCCGGTTAGAGACACAAACCGGCAGTGATAGTTGTCATCACTGGCGGTTCGGTCACATCCCAAATCAATTTCTGGTTTTCAGAGCAAAGAACCGACAGTGAAGGGTCAACACTGCCGGTTCTTCTAATTCCGGCAGTGATGAGGCCGGCAGTGAAGTGCTATTCTGTAGTAGTGTCTTGTTGCTTGGCTGACGATGGTTATGTTACGGCGTCATCTACCTCCCTAGAGGCATCGTCATAGAGTTCCTGTGCCTTAGTGTTATATTTTTTTTTCTTTTTATCTCTCTTTTGATGTATTTGTGGATATGCCACAACCTAGTCCTTGTGTTGGGGTTGCTGTATTTGATTTTAGTCATGTTTTCCAAAATTAACCGGATGACAGGGTTTTTGCATCGTTCCCTAAAAATGAGTTTGTTGATGATAAATCAATACTATCCAGGCGGGGAATCTGTCCCCTCCGTAGTTCGCTTTCAAAAAAACTCTCTTCCTAGAATTGTTTGGTGGTAACAAACACTTGTTTGGATTCAATTTTTAAGAAAAATAGAATGATATGGTATTTTCTATGCCCACATTTGTAGGATCTTATACTGGAAAACACTTCATAGAATCATCTTTGCAAAAGTGTAAATTTATGAATTTAATAATTTTCAAGATAAACTTTGTCTAGAATTTATCTCAAATCGTACACAAAAATGTAAGAAATCTAATTGTGAAAATTGTTTCTCAATTCGATGATCCAGTGAAGAATTATTGCGAAAAAATGAATATAATTTGATAGGATTGCATCCATGCATGTGTGGTAGGTTGTGTCAGGTGGGTGCATCATTTTTACCTTACATAGAAGTTTCTATGCTCGATGGAGAAAAAATTTACGATAGTATGCACTGGTTTCTATACTTTGGAGCTGGTGACGCTATAGGTACGCAATGTTCATGGTGCCACCCAACCATAGTCGCACTGTGAAATGGCCACAAGTTACTTGGCTCCAAGACTTGGTGTCTAATTGAGTATGGCAAGCGGCGCATGCAGAGGATGAACACAAAGACTAATTACACTTTTAGAGTGAATGTAGGTTGTAGTCATGGGACAATCTAAGTTTCCTCGAACCATCAAACAGTCTTACAGGGAGTGGTTTCAATCTTGACAACCGGCAAAGTTTCAATCTTGACGTAAATGTAAACTACTCTCTCCGTCTCATGTTAAATGACATTTTAGAATTTCTCACGGAAACCAATGTTGAAGTCGAAAGATCAAAATGCCTCTAAAGAAGTAGCTTGGAATAGAGAGTATTGAGAAAAAAAAGAAAGGTGTATTGAGAAAAGAGAAATGTGCATTAGAAAGTGAGAAGGGCAAAATTTAAACACTATAAGATCCCGTATTTTGGAGCGAGGGAGTAGTTTCTTGATAAAAAATGAGTTTTTATAATGGATGATGTGGCTAAGCATAGTTTAAAAAAATGCTAGAAGTGCCACTTTGAATGACGGAAGATGAGACTAACCATGAGTAATAAATCTCGGAGGAAATAGTGAATGAATCAGTACAACTTGACGTACGCCTGAAAGTGAAATGCATGCCGCATTTGGCAGCCTGCTAGGGTAAAGGCCCATATCTAGTGTATACACCGGTTTCCTCGAACCATCAAACAGTCTTACAGAGAGTGGTTTTGGTCAGGGTCCTGGTTTGGTCTTTACAAAGAACACAGATAGACAAAAGTAAAAGATTCAGCTTGTTCACATCCAAAACCACCCTCCCTCCATTTCATTAATAACCAGCTTTCTACTGTTCCCTTCCCTTTTAGTTAAGGCTAACTCTCCATGCTAGTGCCTATACAATGACTAAGTCGTTGTTCCTATATGTGCCGTTTATCTGCGTATGGCTGTTGTTTTAATTGGCTGCCAGCTTCCTGATCTGTTCAACCAACGATGCCTCAAGCTCCAACTGTGTAGTTTTTTGTGAACCTTCCTGAATTGAATTTAAGTAATAATGTACTTATTAGCAGTTAGTGTTAGAAGGTTAGAAAAGCGACACTTTCTATTAGATGGAATTCTGACCTGGTAAGCTTTCAAGAGATTTCTCCACTTGTCCTGAGCCATGAAACAATGTAAGAGTATGATATTTAGCCAATAGCATCTCACAATGAATTTACTTCATTGTGCAATGTGTCACTAATCTACTTTACCTTAAGATTTACTGCTGTCCTGATTGAGGTTTTGAAAAAATTCTGCTTCAACTTAGTCCATCGTCCAACACCAAATTTAGAGATACCTTGCACCAGCCTCTCCACTTCTTTAGCAGTCCACCGGCTATTGTTTTTCCTACTTGTGTAGAACATCGGATTCTATGAAACAACCAAAAGGTAGTCATTTGAATTCTCCCCCTGATGGGTGATAGGATAGTCAAGAAAGAAAATCTCTTGTTTGCCATCAAAACTTATACCCATCTCTTCTACTCCCTTCTTCCCAAAAAGACAGGTGTGATTCTAGAAATTAATAATCACAGTCGTATAGGATAAAAAACTATATAAGTTGGCTAAAATGCCATCAGTTTAAATTTTACATCCACGTCTGTGGTGCCCCTTAACTGTGACGTGAAAAGACAATAATGTCCTTATTTTTTTAGGAATGAGAAAAAAAAAGGCAATAATGGCCTTGTGCACTGCTCGCACCGGATCCCTTTGTGCCATGCCTATGCAGCAGGCTCTCTCTCGGTCTCATCTGACCAAGCGGAGCCAGCCTTCTTTCCTCCCCAAATCCTATACGCATCTGGTGGCGCCGGTACATGGTGCCAAGTGGATCCGGTGGAGGCCGCGGCGGACGTCAACCCAAGCCGCGAGAGGCATGGGGGCGACCCTCTAGGCCAGGCGGCCTGGGCTACGGCCTACAGGTTCCCAGGCAAACGATTGGCTCATCTATGACACCGACGCTGTAGGGCGTCCCGTCAGCGGCGGAGCTGCCACGACGACACGGCCGGAGGCGCCTATCTTTGGCCCCCGCGCGCTAGTCTGTGGCCTGTGGGGACGACCTCTCCGCTGCTCTGAACCGATGCCCGCGAACTTGGGCACCAACGTGTCCATGGGCCCGCCATGGCCGCGCGCGGTCCCGCCGGTGGGACATCGCCAGTTCGCCACATCCGACTCGCAGCGATGGACTGGAAGGAAGGCGCGCAAGATGCATGCAGCGCCGTGTGGCTGCCAGGCAGAGGCAGCTAGAAGGCGGAGAGCCTCCGATCCGCGCTGCGTCGCTCTAGACACGGACCACGGTCCACGGACTGACGGACGTGTCTGCCTGACGTGGGTACGGTGAGCACCGCCTCCGAGGCTCCGACCTTGCCATCTGCAATTCCACCAGCATCATCAGCCCACCAGCCACCAGGCGTACTTTGTTTCCAGTCGCAATCGATCATCATGGCAGCGGGACGCTCGCCGGGGCCACGGCACGTTGTCTTGCTGAAAGAGAAACCACCTCAATGCTGGAACTGGACAAGTAAACTAGTCTAGGGCTAGGCTAGGCCGCTAGGGGAGTTTTGTCATTTGTTGCAACTGCTAACTGCGACAGAGACTAATGGAATCCGCTAAAAATGCATGGCATATAGGAGATGGAAAAAATCTAAAGAGTGGCAACGCAGGAAAACACAGCAAATTTTCAATGACACGTAATAAAGGATAAGTATAAATTTCAATATCATATAAGGGATTTATTTTTCTCATAAACTTGTGCCTACCCATGGAGACGTCCTTCTCTTCCGAGTTCCTCTTGGGCCACTCTTCCTAGGTCCTGTCTGTCATGAAGAAATTAATAGACCCCGTCAATACCTTATCTTGTCCACTCTATCTAGGAGTACCAACATGTTAAAAGTTTATTTACTTGTGCAAAAATAATCTACCGGGTAGAGTTAAAGTTAAGCATCTCAGTATCTATTTTGGTAAATTCCATAACCGCATACCTGGCCATCATTTGCGTCCGGCAAAGGAGAGGGAGGAGGCAAATCACCTGCACAGGAGAAGCTCTATAAATTAAATGTTGTTCCAAGCCATAGATAATGCCATATTAATGGCATGTGTGTAGGCCGGGAACCTTGGGAATTGACAGTAGTAGTAACAGCAAAACATTGTAGTACATAGGAGTATATACCTGATAAGCAATCATTTACGTTTGCCGCTTCTTGGGGCCCTTCCAGAAGTTGTAGGATCCACACGTCAACATCCTCGTCGCGGGCTCGGTAATTCTCCATCTGTAAGGAGAAGATGGCTATTCTCACGAATTGGAGGTTGATCTACCAGGATAGATGAACTATTATCACAGCAGATGCATGGATCTTATTATTGGACTGCAGGAGCCCAAATGAAAGGATTCTGGACCCTGATTTCGTGTAGGATGTTTTTCAGAGTTTGAGACATACTGCTGCTCTGGCAGATCGAAGTATCGAACCCCGTTACCTGTAGTTCGCCGAGAAAGCCGTAGATCGCCTGCTGCTCCATCCGAAACGCCCGATCTGTCCGGGAAGAAACCATGGAGAACGAAATCAGAAGTTGAGAGAAGTAGCAACGCAGAAAGGTGCCAGAAGTACCTACCAGCGTTGTGGTGACTGGCCGGTGAGGAGTCGAGAGGAGCGAAGAGCGGCCAGCATGCACCCGGAAGCCGCCTCGGAGGAGAGAGGGAGGTGCGGAGGACCGTGGACCCTGGACGAAGAAAGGAGGAGGCAGAAGAGAGGCAAGGCTGCTGCCTGCTGGTGGCCTATTGAGCGGAAAAGCATGCTAGCTATTAGAGAGAGAGAGAGAGAGAGAGCAGGAAGCCGGACTTGAGCTTCACTCCTGCTGCTGAAGTGAGATAGTGGTGTCATTTTTCATTATGTATGGCATGCAGACGTCCATCGATATCATTTTTCAATAATCACTAAAATAGTATTAATATAGAGTAATTTTAAATAAAACTAATAATTGCAGTGATGCTTTCCTAATAAGTTAAAGGTGTAAAAAGAATTTAGCTTCTTTGTAGGACATGACGTTTTAGCATCTTTTTCAACGACAGAATATATTTGAGCCGACAAATGTGTTTGGCCAGTTGTGTTAGGGTGGAATGATGAAATAAAGCATGCACAATACCAAGTAAGTTTGAATATGTTTTGCTAATCAAATCTGATCGGACTAGGAAATGAATGAACTTCAAATTTGCTTTTATTTTATTATGAGCGGGACCACTAACCACTATTTGAAAAGTGAGTTAAATTAAGTTGTTAAATCGGAAACGCTCAACCATGGGTGCCCGTCCCGTCGGACACGTCTCCCAGTCCTGACTCCCTCTTCTCAACAGACCAGCCTCTGAACCTAAAAAAACAAAAATTCCCTATTCGGGCTGTGGTGTCCTCCTCAGCTGCTCCAAGACCCTCACCGCACCGCACCTCCGGCCGACCCCACCACCGTAGAAAGTCCCGCAGCAGTGCGCTCTCTCTTCCCCACTCCCTCCGCATGAAGCGCTTGCTCCAACGTCTCTCCTCCGTGGCTGGCCCTTCCCACGTTGCTCCTTCCTGCAAGGCACCCGGCCCCTTCCCTTGCTGCTCCGTGCGCCCGCATCGCACCACCATCTAGCGTTGCGCCTCCATCCACCTCGCCCATCGCAGGAGGGAAGGCTGGGGAGGTCTGCACCTACGCCTGGGGAGGGATGTGCCTGCGCATGTGCCCCCATCCACCTCGCATCGTCGGCAAGAAGGGGAGGCATGTGCCACCGCAGTAACCCACTAGGTAGGCCGAGGTCACCGGCAAAGCTATGTTTTCAAGTGTTTTTAGGCGTTTTCAAACATGTTGCAAGCCTATGTCTCAAATGTTTTAGTTGTTTCAGATGTATATTTCTGAAAGTGCAATCAAGTCCTAATTGTGGGTTTTAGTGATAATAACCACGCAATTAGAGGACTAATGAGACTTATCGAGATGACAAGTAGGGAACCAAGAATCGAGAATGTTATACAAAACGGAGGAGCCCCCAATTACAAATGTTGACGGCTTCAAACTCAAAGGAGGTTTATATTCTTTTATATTTCAAATTTGAGTATAGGAAAAGCCGTACTATAAAGGGGGACACAATGCTTAAGCTAACTTGTGCTACCAAGTGCTCAATCTTACACTCAAGCATCCTCAAAAGTTCAGCCATGACGGCTTGCTCAATACTCTTTTATCTCTGCTGTCAGGCTTGGTGCGGCAGTGCCATGACTTATCTGACCGTTGGGGTCAGGGGGGTATTTATACATCTTCCCTTCCCTCACAACCGTCTTCTTCCTCTCTTAGACTTTTAGACCGACGCTTTTTGGCTCAGCTCTTGTTCTGTCTCTCCTCCATTGGTGCCCAAAAGCTCTCAAGCTTTCCCTTGTGATTTTCTCATCAATTCTTGAGAGAAAAAGGTGCCAAACTCGTTTAGAGAGCAGATCCACTGATTTCCAAACTCAAAAGAGCACTTGGTTCATGTTTTGGCCGACGGTTGTGTTTGTTACTCTGCGAGCTTGCTCCAAGCCGGCTAGAGCGTCACCCGTAGAGCTTATCAGCGTGTGTGGTAGCCCCGGGAGGTTCGTAACCACCTCTTGAAGCTAGTAAACTCACCTCTCATCTCAAGAGTTAACCCTCTTGACTTGAGAATGAGGAAGGGTTGCAAAGCCCTAAGCCATAGTGGCTAACCTCAACAACGTAGACTGAGGCAAGCCTTGGTGGCGAGTTGAACCACGGGATAAATCCTATTGTCACTTTGTGCTTAATTTACTTTACTTGCATTGTATATTGTTGTTGAAGTAATTTTTAGGGTTTGAGGCCGATCTACTTGTATACACTTGTGCTACCACTCCTAGCTGTCGATCTGTGATCTATACCCCTGTAGGAAGCTCGGTAATTTCTCCGATCTAAGTTTTTATACACAGATTTTGAATTGTATCTCGAAGTTATCTGCTGGTGCGGCAGTGCCGCAGGCTTAGAGCGGCAGTGCCGCGGGTGGAATTTAACATTTGGTTAAGTTTTGTTTTAACAGGCCTATTCAACCCCCTCTCTAAGTGTTTCATACGGATGTTGCAAAAGTAGATCAGGATGTTGCACATGTTATAATGGCTATACACGTTTGTTTTAAGTTTATGTTCCAAATGTTTCATCTGTTCCAGATGAATGTTGCAAGTGTTTTATCTGGATGTTGCAAAAGTATATACATGCATGTTGCAAGCATATGTTTCAAGTGTTTTTAGGTGTTTCATATGTATGTTTGCAAGTGTTTTATTTTTATGTTGCATATGTTTGCAATGTTTTTTAAATGTTTTTCAGGCGTTTTAACAAGTGTTTCAGATGTTTGTTTCAAGTGTTTCATTTGTCTTATTTTGCATATTGCAACTGTTGTATTTGGATGTTTCAAAAGTAGTTGCACATGGGATACGCGCGGGAAGCGGCCGGCGGCGCAGATGACGTCCGGGGCGGCGTTGGGGGACGTCCGGAGCAGCTAGGCGCTCGCTCGTTCCATGTGCGGGCAGTGTCCAGGCGCTAGCAAGTCCCTTGTTAAATTATGAGCAAGACTTCTTATCCATTGAAAATGAGTGATATCGAGGACCCACAGGTGATCTCATTTTTTAAGAAATGGCTTTAAACAACGAGTTATACACCCTTTGCTTGCAGGAGGTGGAAAATGTTCCTATATTGTCTATTTAATTTAATTAACTAGATCATTCGGTCTCCAAAAGCTGATGCGTGCCCGGAGCTCATGCAAAAATAATGCAAAAGTACAGAATCTTTTTTCCAAGATATCGCTGCAATAATGTAGAGAAGTTTTCTCACTTTTAAATGCACATCTTTATCTCTTCTTCTCGTTTTCTACGGACCATACCTCTTTAATTCCCATGCTTCGATCTAAATAAATTTTAGCCTGGCTTATCAGTCATGATAGAATATTTTTCTCTCACAATAAAGTAGCATCAGTCGGCTTATATATCAGCCGAACAGCTCGATCATCATTTATCTCTCCAAATAAATTTATTTATGAAAATATATTTTATAACTAATCTAATGATACTTATCTTGTATCATGAATATTAGTACATTCTTATATAAATTTAGTCAAAGTTTAAATTATTTGATTTCTCAGAAAACAAGAATTCCATTATTTTGTGAACTGAGGAAGTATATTATTAGCTTTGTAATTAAATTAAATGCATTATCCACGTTCACTGCCAAGCAAACCACTGTCACATACGTAGGTTTTTACACTGGTTGGTCAACGTCAAGCATTTTTTTAAGAGTCGCAACCACTGCCGACAACAAGCATTTCTGAAAGTTGATCCGTTCCGTACGTGCATGCATGTGAGCTAAAGAAACAAACAAAAAGAAAGGCTGCACTTTTCAAAAAGGAGAAAAACGAAAGGTCGCAGGCCGCAGCTGATGGAGATCAGGTCCACTATCTCACGTTTCTGGTTGCCTGACCCTCCCTACCATTCTATCAGCTGATACTGATGGTTCGTCTGATTGATCCATGAGATTACGTGTAATGTTAGAATAAAGACCCTAGTATGCTTGAACAGAGAGAGAGTGGGTCCACAGAAGAGTACTGTGCTACGTGCGTGCACTGAACAGTGAAGCACCGCCTGCCACCATGTGCCAAACAACTTCCAAGAAACAGTGTCTAGGCGTCCTTCTTGTTTTGTGGATAATATATACTCCGCATGAAGCCAGCCATTCCGGCTGTGCGAATCAGCAGCCACGCTAATGTCTCTGGCTCCTCTAATCCAGGCTTCTCCGAAGGAGCCATTTCTTGAATAACAATTTGGCAGGGCTTCAACGAAAGAAGAGCCACTCCATGACCCTGGTCCTCTAACCTTTTTGTTTTCATATAATAGCAAACGGTAATGCTTCTATCAGGACTTCCGTCCATTCGAACTGGATGGATCTGCCTCGCGCCGCGCGCCTTGCGCCCCTGCACCTCGCGACTCGACTTTCCTAAAAAAAACTCGCACCTTGCACGGTCGTCGGACCGGACCCGCCTCGCATCGCGTGCGTCCCGCGCCTCGCACGGTCGCACCAGACCCGCCTCGAGCCACGTGCGCCTCACGCCTCGTGCCTCGCGCCGCGTACCGCCCGAGCCTCACATTGCGTTCCCCCGTGCCGTGTCAACTAGCCTTCATTGGACGGCTGCAAGTAGATGAGCACATGCTGCAACCATATGTTTCATGCGTTTCAGATATATGTTGCATATGTTTCATCTGAATATTGCAAAAGTAGATCTGGTGGTACATATGATGCAATGGCTATACACGTATGCTGCAAGTGTATGTTTCAAATATTTCAGTTGTTTTAAACGTATGTTGCAAGTATTTTATCTGGATATTGCATATGTTGCTGTGGCTATACATGTATGTTGTAAGTGTATGTTCCAAATGTTTCACTTGTTTGAGACCTATGTTGCAAGTGTTTCATCTGGATGTTACATATGTTTCAGACATATGTTGCAAGCATCTATTCAAAATGTT